AGATAGTAGCGATTTCTGAGTAAACTTTTGTAAAAACAGAATATCCAAGTTTCTTTGTTAAAACAGTTGCTTTTACTGTCCTTTTACATTATTTACCTTATAAGTGGTAATAATATTAATAAAAAAAAGTTCTGAGCTACCCTTATTTTGCTTCAAAGTTCTTTATTTGAAATTTAAGTTTTTTTCCTGAAATTTCCCTTTTAAAATGAAGGTGCGTGTTATACGCCTGTGCGTGTTATACGCCGATAAATACGGGTACTTAATACTCCTTCCACTCTACATATACGTATCTCAAAGAGAAGGCAAGAAGAAAAAGATTCTTAGTTGCCTATCTTTTGAACTTGTTATTTTTGCCAAAGGAAATGTTAGAAGATATTGACCGAAAGGTACTGAACCTTCTGCACCTTTTTCTAATTTTGAATCTTTCAACATCCTGTAAATAGTAAGCATGCATTTAAATTTACAGAAAGATGTTGTATTTAAACTTTGTTCCATGTAGAGGTTATCTCAGCTACTGTTCACTCAGAGTGTCGTTGAAATATAGAATTAAATCAGGGTGTATTAATGTAGCCTTTTAAAAAATCAGTAATATTACTACTTACTCATCCAAAAAAGGCCAGTATTATATATAAGTGTGTTTTCTGTTTGTGTTGATAATGTTCTAACTTGATTAGCTGAGAAATAACCAAAGAAAATATTTTTTTTTCATTCTGTTTTTTGAAGGATCGTGTAACATTCAGAAGAATTATATTGAAAAATAATGCAAAGAAAAGGAGAACGTATGAATTATTTGTTGAGTCAGTGCCTCTTCTTAAGTCACTGGAGGTAAAGTACTTTGTGGGAAATGAACCGGAAAGCATGTCTAATTAGATTTTCCTCAGCATTGTAAACGTTTAAGAGGAGGTTAGGGGTTAAGGAAAGCATCTATGACAGCAATTACTTTATATTATTGATAGGTTTTTCAGTAAGCTCTTCAGACAGATTTGGCTGGTTCTCTATGTATATCATTCTCTGAGTCTGCCAAGGAATTTATGACTGAGTCTTGCTATATGACAGTTGGCCTTTATAATCTAAAGTGGGAACCTACACAGTGGTGGCCTATATGGAACATATAGCAATACCAAGTTATCAGATAGTCAGGAAAATTATCATAAGTCTACCTGCTGGGCTGTGATCATCCTTCTGCTAATTAATTTAGTAACGAAAGCAAAGAAATGCATTAGTTTCTAGACCTAATGGTGGTGGAACTGCCACTGCTGTTCCTCTTCAGTAGATATCCAAACAAACACACACACACACACACACACACACATACCTGGAAAGGACCAGAGTGATAATGTGTCCATTTTCTTGGGTTGAGATGTATGCAATAAGTGAGAGAGAGACAGGGATAGGCATGGATGGAAAAAAAGCAGGTATATGACATCCACAGAATGTAGATGTTCAGGGTAAAATTATGCATGCTTTATTGGACTACTTGATATCGTATATAAAAGTATGAAACGTGTATTGATGGAAACACTGTTACCTCCATTGCTTTGTGGAAATGGATTATGCTAAAGAAAGGAACAGGGCATATTAAATTCTTTTTTTTTTTTGTTGCAGCCATCTGAGCGAATGAAGATTGTTGATGTAATAGGAGAAAAGACATATAAAGATGGAGAACGCATCATTGCTCAGGTATATGAGTGCAATTTTCTTACTTTGGTAAATATTGTGTTTCCCCGTAAATAAGACCTGTCCTGAAAATAAGCCCTAGCTTGATTTTTACACATGCACCTAATATAAGCCCTACACGCAAAATAAGCCCTAGTTAGGACCCTGCCCACTCTGTTCCCCTGTCTGGTTGCTCATGGCTGCAACGGTGCAGGAAAGCACGCCACGCTCTGGTGCTGCCACCACAAGGTGAGGCAAGGCAGGTGAATGGGAGGTGGGGCTGCCCCACAAGCCCTGCACCCACGCACCTTAGGGCCCCCGTAGCCAGGCCACTCACCTTGTGGTGGGACAGAGTGGGTGGCTGGCCGTGCGGGCTCCTGCCTCGCCTCTCCTCATGGCGGTGGCGTCGGCTCCCCTCTGCACTGCTTTGAAATTCCCTCCCAGCTGCCCCAAGCAGACCCATCACCAGGAGTGGCCTGGAGAAGAAAGGTCTCCTTGAACAACCCCCAGCTCCCCAACATGGCACCCTGGTTCCTGCAACCTGCGCCTCCCGCATCCCTGGGCCAGGCGGGTGCTCATTTTCCTGCTAAGTCCCTGAGGGTCTCCTCTGCGCCCCTTCCCTATGGCGTTAGCAGCAGCAGCAACAACATCCCCTTTCCTCTATCCCCCCCTTCACAGACTGCCCCCCCAAGCACCGCCTGTTCCTGGTCTAGGCACCAAGGAGGGTCCTACCCAGGAGGTGAGCCAATGAGCCCCGGCCTCCTCGCAACCGCCACAGCATGTTGGCTGGCTGGGCAGTGGGCGAAGGTGGAATTTGGGAGGCAGTGATGGAGTGTGGCCCAGCAACAGCAACAGCAGAATCCCCCCGGGACAGCCCTGCTGGCACCAGCTATTTAACCCTAAGCGCCCAGACCGGAGACTTAGGCTGGTAAGGAAGCGGATGCTCTAAGCGGGGATGGTGGCCTCAATGGGGCAGGCCAGGCAATGAGCGGAGCACTTTGCCGCCACCGCTGCTTTCCCCTTAGAGCCACAAGTGCAAGACAGTTCCGAGGCAGCAACCATCTCCTGTAAGCCCGCCGAGGTTCCGATCTGGGTGCTTAAGGTTAAATAGCACGCAGTTGGCCCAACAGAGGGGATTCTGCTGTTGCTTGTGGCAATGGCACCAGCGCACCGCACAGCCTGCCCCCTTGCAGCCACGAGCAACCAGATGGTGGGAGGGAGTGGGCGGGTGGTCGCAAAATAAAACATTCCCCGAAAATAAGTCCTAATGGGTCTTTTGGTCCAAAAAAATAATAATAATAAGACCGGGTCTTATTTTTGGGGAAACATGGTATATTGGATTTGGGGAATAGTTAAGAATTCAGTCATATACAGAATTAGAAAAGGACTTCTAAAAATGGATTGCAATGAATAGCATGCATGTGTTTTGTAAAACGTAAAATGTAAAATAATGTAAAAAAAAATCTTAATTATTGATTTACATTTTGTACCGTTGTACAGATTTGCTAATTTACATTCTGTATTATTATTTGGATTCTAAAATACAGAATAATTACTTTTCAAAATCAAAAGGATTGCTCAAACAGTATTTGGAAAGAATGTCTTAATTTTCTGAAGCAGCAGTAACCTTTATATTAGGATCTCCTTTCTCATTGAAATATTCCAATATCGCCCCATTTTTCATTTATATTTTCACATCTTAGATTAGGTGGTATAGATTCTTTTCTCTGTGCCGCTGTGTGCTTTTCTGAGCCTCAATCTCAGAAATTACATTACTTTGTTTGAAACTGATTTTGATCAACACTTCAGAATATCCAAAGACATCTGTAATCTTGTTATCACAGGGTGATAAGGCGGAGAGTTTTTTCATTGTAGAATCTGGTGAAGTAAAGATCATGATTAAAAGCAAGGTGAGTTCAGTTATTT